GAGCCAGGCAGGCTAGGAACAGATGCCCAACGCTCGGGACAGTTCATGCGGCGGGGGGGAACCTCAGCTGTTACTGCTTTGGCAGGCAATCCCTTTTAACGCTTTAAATGCTACAGAGAAGCAGTAACAATAGAACAGTGTAGATGGTAAAGACTTGAGCTAAGTCAGACCACACTGCCTAGAGGAGCCCGACAGAATAAGAGAAAAGGATCCTGGCATGTTCCTGTGCACAAGCAGAGAGTACAGACTGTTCTGCTGCCCTGCCACACGCAGTCCTCCAAGCCCACTGTGCTCACTTGGACAGCACAAACGCTGATCAAGTGACTTACAGACTTTTCTGCAGATGGACACCTGATAAGCAGCAGCTGCACCCAAGATTCACAATACAGCTCCACAGGCAGGCAGATAGCGTGACTGCTCCCCTGTCGAAAGGGATGTGAGAGGTGAAAGTCCACCAAATCTGGGCAGCCCCTAGGGCCCAGATCGCGGAGAAGGCGAGCAAGGCCAAGGCTGCCTCCCGTCAGTCAGGTACAAGCAGAAGACACACTGAAATAGAGGGACGTTGGAGGATGACCTGAAACCTCCACTGCTGCTTCACGCCCAGTTACACCCCACCCTGTGATTTTCACTGCAAGTCCACCAAATATGAAGCAAGCCCTGAAATCAGTTCATCTCCTAGATTTGCTGCCATTCAGCTCTGAAAATGAGTCTCCAGAGAAGCCCTGGAGACATGAAGGTCACAAGTAAATAAAGAAGAGGCCAAGTAGAAACTGTTGCTACAGCTAACTACCTTCCAGAGCACCAACATCACTTCCTTCTTGCTAGCTGGCATCACCAGGCTACTCCCACTGGACCATGTCTGTCAGAGCTGAACAGCATCAAGAGCAAAACTATCCGGTGCTTTAAGAATGCTGTCGCGGTTACACTGCCACAGAGCATCGAGAACCCACACAATGCTTTGCAAGAACAAGCCAGCAGTCCCAGCCTCTGAAGCCCGCAATGCAAATGAGAGAGCAGATAACCAAGGACAGGGAAGAAAGTAGAAGTCTGCCAGCACATACCGAAAGCACATGAGAGCACTGGAGCTAGAGAGACCAGCTCCAGCAAGAGCAAGAACCACCCAAGAACAGCAGCGGGCGCACGTCCTGCTCCCCGGTGTCCCTGCTACATAAGCAAGGGATTTCACAACCACAAGAAGCCACGGTTCAGCTCCCAGCCCAGGCGAATGAGATCTTCGCCCAGAGTTTCCTTCCAATACCCACCCACCTTCGGCACATGACAAGCACAGCCACAGGACATCAAAAGCTAGGCAGCCACCGCCCCACCAGTCTCTGCGACACAACACCCCTGGTCTGTCAGATCTCCAAGGAAACTTTATGCTCTGGATAAACTCCTGCAGAAATTCAGCCTGGAAATGACTCAGTCACACACCCCTTAGCCACAAACCTCAGCTGGGCCATCTTCTCCAGCCCCTCTGGGCTGATGCGATCTCTGGAAAGCAGATTGCTGAGCTGCTGCTCCTGGTTCCCAGCCTCGCGGAGGAGTTTGCTGAGCTCCTGCTGCTGCATGTTCCGCATCTGCTGCTCCATCTCAGGACTCAGAGGAGTCGGGGGGAGCGGGCTGCAGATATATTGCCCTGCCTGGCTGGGATAGCCAGGGTAATAGGCTCCCGGGTACACACCATTACTTGGGCCCACAGGATACTGAAGGGAATATCCACCATAAGGATACTGCGGGCCTTGGCCGGTGGCACGAGGGTAATAATAGGGGTTGTCAGAGTTTTGGAACTTATAGAAGGATGTCTGGGCCTGGCGGGCTTCCCCCCAGGAGGTGGGGCTCACTTCATCATCTGTGTCAAGGAAGTGAAGCTGAGCAGTCTGGCTCTTCAAGGCGGGCTTTTGGTCCGGGTTGTTGGGGTCCCACAACCTGCGAACAGTTCCGCCTCGGCCCCTGCTCCGGGGCCCTTTACTCCCAGCACCGCCGAGCAGGAGCCTGGGCCCTGGGTGACTGGGTTCAGGGGAGCCGGCGGTGCTGACCGAGAGGTCTGTGTTGGCAGGCAGGAACAGAATCCCACGGCCCCTCCCTTGAGGCTCTCTGCTCTGGCCCCTCACTTCCAAAGTCTCTGAGTCATTAGAACTAACAAATGCCTTCAGGGGCTTTTTTTTATCTGTTTCTGACAGGCTGATATCTCTGCTCACAGTCCTGTTGTCGAAGGTGACTCGAAAGGGTCCCTTGACTTCCCTGCCATTGCTGCTCCACTCACTCTCGCTTCTAGAAGCTCGATTCTGCTCTGAATGCTTTTTCTTTTCCAAATTCCTGCTGGAGACATATGCTTCTGCCTCATCAGTTCTGTCATCATCCAAGGAGTCAGTGGAGGATGTGGAGAGCTGTTTCCTAGGACGTATCCTTTCTCTGGCACGCTCCTGCCGCCTCTCCACCCCATCCACAAGCGTGGCTCCATCTACGCTGTTGTTGCTTCCAGCTGAGCTTGTGCTGCAGGTGCGGTATCGGCTCCGTCGCTTGTCAGAACGGGAGTACCGTTTCGTAGAGCTCAGCTTCCCCTGCAACAGCTCATTGCTTGTTTTCCTGATCCTGTCGCTTCGGTCTGTCCGTCTTCCTTTTTCTCCCTTTACAGTTTTCACTCCTTCCCTTGTCAGGCTCCCCTCTCTATCTTCTTTGCTTGATTTGTTTTTCCTATTGTTGTCTTTTCCAGTACCTTTCTCAGTCTCTTCATCTCCCTCAACTTTCAGCTGCTCCATCTTAGTGATGACTTCCTCATTAGTTGACCGGAGAGCTGGTTCTTTGGCAACTGAATGCAGGCGTTTCCCAGGCTGATATATCTGCTGGTCCGGCTTCTTGGTTCTCCGGGTGGTCTTGGAACACCACTCATCCGGAGCAGGCTGTTTAGACACGTTGTCCTGACCCGGAAGACCACCTTTATTCTCTGTCCCTTCATTTCCTTGCAAAGGGCCGTTCTGCTTGTGGCTGTCACCTTTGCTGAAATCCTCCATGACTGGAGCCCCTCCTGCCGAAGGATCTTTGTCACTGGAACTCTCCTCCTTGCCTTCCTCAGCTCTGCTCCTCTCCTTCTCTGAGGCCTCGTGCTTTGGCAGCGCGAGTTTGCTCCTCAGTCGGGAAAGGCCAGGCTTGTAAATCTCCAGGTCTGGGCGCCTGTTGTCTTTGCGATGTCTTGGCTCCTTCACTTCTTTCATGTTGTCTGAGAAAAAAATAGAGAGATGAGGGTTATTCCCAGCATAAGCCAGCCAGCCCAGGAAGGAAAAGACAGAGACAAATAGCCAATGAAAAACATTAACCAAAGGCAAAGAGCTTAATACCCTTATGACAAGTCCAAGAAGATAAAACTGAAATTCTTTGTCAGAATATTACAGGAAATCACAGAAGAAGAGTAAGAAATGAGAAAGTGTGACAAAGCTGACCAAATCCTTGGCCTGATTCGCTTACAAGATACATCAAACAACAGGCTGTGCCTCAAAGAACGTGTAGGCTAAGAAGGGAACTGATAAAGCAAGATACAAGAGCTCAACGCTCGTATAGGAGCGCCAGATTAGAAGTTTTAACGCTGCTGGTTTCCTGGTTTCGGCAGCAGCTCCCTGTCAGCCTGTTGCTAGCGCAAGAGCCTTTCCGTATGCCAACGCTATCTTCCCCAATAGCCTCCCTGTTGCGTGAACAAATCCTTTCAAACCAAGGACGTATTACTGAGCTGCGAGAGGAAAAAAAAATACGTTTTTCCTCTCCCTCTGTGCACCTCCATGAGAGCTTTAAAACAAAAACACTTTGAAGAACGCCGCTCGAATGACAAAGCACTGCACGAAACGCCTGAACGGAGCCAGGCTGCTACACGCTGCCTCGGCTCAACTTTTCTCTTCCGCCAGCGACGGTTTAAACCCCCGAATTTCTGCTCGGAGCCAACCGAAAACCACCGCGACGACGGAGCGGGCCCCGGACGAGGCAGAGGCAGCGGCAGCG